TGCAAAACTGAATGTTGTAGACCATATAGGGAAAAAGTTATATGTACCAAAAAACAAATATGAAACTACAATAAAGATGCCATTAATATTTCTGATCACACTGAAACTATTTTTCATAAGTCAATAGACCATTCTTATGGTGGTATATTATCTACCTAGATGGGGCACAAATCTGAGATGAAGTACTGGTCTAAGATGGAACAAAGGTCACTGGTCTGACTAGTAAGATACATCCCTAGTTTAATATGTCAAAGTGATCAAGCATATGTTATCACAACAACATGGCTCTGATCAGCTGAGCTGAATAAAGAACATGGTCATCATTATATCAACATTCTCCAATTCAGACCTAAATTGGTCAAAATATGCCAATTTTCATGATTCTTCTAATTTTCACATGGGTGCAAATATATATATACTAGGATTTATTTGTACTGATGTACATTTTCAAATTGATTTTCATGTGGGTGCAAACCTATTTTTAAAATCTCAGGTGTGTGCTGTGCCCACTTGCTAAATAATACTGGGGAGATCACAGTATATAACACAGCAGAAAACATGACTAGGAAGTGTGCCATTAAGTGTGTCAAATCATTACATACAATGATGAGCAGGCCTGTCTAATAAAATAAAATACAAACATACTCCATGCTTAACACATCTGTACTTAACAAAATGTCACATATGCCTACACTTTCATATACTACTATGTAGATACAGGACCTCATATAATAATGTAATCATATATAATACACAACATATCATACTTCATCAGAACCCTTCATAATATCTTGCACCTACAGCCATACCCTCTAAATTAGCAATAAAATAATTTGTACATCTAACTATGAAGTAAGAACACCTTGACATTACATGTGTAATGTGTAAAAGGAACACCTTTTGTACCTCTTAAAAGTGTTCCATTTAAGAGGTGTTCAACTCACTGAGGTGTGTTCAAATTCATAGACTATATTTTACAATCGAACTCAGACTAACATGACATTGTTCAGATCTTATTAGCGTTGATCCTATAAAATCATCTGGTATATCACTAGTGTGACGAAGTAGAGGAGATTCAGGATACAGTCATATGCCAAATAACCTTAAAGGCTGTTGTATATCTTATAAATTGAGTATACATCCTCAAAAATACCTTATCAATTAATCAAGGTATTTTAATGATAGATTTATATATATTTATCTATAGGCAAGGGCCTAAAGATATAAATCAAGAACTGACATATAGTATTTTAGCAACATGAGTACATATACCCTTTGCATTCGTTTGACTTCACTTCTTAAAAGAGAGCTTCGTCTTCACTCTTTCAAACTAAAATAAACCTGTGAACTCACCGCGCCAATCAGTGTTCGTCGGCCAAATTTGACCGACGTTCTATATATGGTCATTCCTTCTGACGTCATCGTTGAGCCCGGAATTGGCCAATGACATGCGCATATTTAATTAGAACGCATTTGGCGTATGTTTCTCCAAGCCGTCGCTGATTGGTGGAAGAAAGGTCAGCGCGTAGGTCAAAAGTGATTTATTACCCAAACTGTCACTGGTACCCGTCGTGGGGGCGGGGCTACTAAACTGCAATATGGTCTCTACTAGGCAGAGTGTAGTTTAACTAGACTCTGCACGCAGGGTAGAGTACATATAGCCATCATGATAAACCATGACATCTCATTTTTCCTCTCAGCCGACAACATGTTTCTGATGAAACAAAAAGATGCTATGAGTATCAAAATGACATGTAGTTATTATGAGCAAAGTTCAAACCTTATGCAGTAAAATCAAGAATTTCTCTTAATAAGCTAACACACATGAAGCTCTCCTTTAGAGAATGTGAAGTCACTCTTTACAAAGGTTATTTAAGAACATGTTTTATAACTAAATTAACTGTTGAGATTGTTGGTTTGCGTGCTAGTAGAATGAAATCAAAATTAAAGGGGAATTGGAATCATTGTAGAATCGTAACAAAGTGGTAATTAAAATTGTGCTACTTGCTATAATGTATTTTGAAACCAACAAGGTAAAACTAAAGTAGAAAGTTAATTTAGTCTTAATCTTAATATAAGATGACATTAATTTATGTTGTTTAATAAGTATTAATACATTTAGGGTCAAAAATAAATTACTTGTTGCATTCTTAATTTACTAGATAAAATAAATTTTATTTTTCTTAAATGTGTCCTTTCAACATATGTAGTACCAGTATATCTAATCATCATCTTCAATAAGTGCAACTTGGGCACTTGGATTCATTCAATGTTATCAACGAAAACAAATGATCAATCATAGTTACATTTTAACCTTATTAAAGAACATATTTGACCTTGTAAAGGACATGCAACATCAAGAGCTGTATACTGCACTCTAAATGGTATTGCAGTTCTACAGTTTTCAGAAATTATATGTTGAGTCTGAACCAAATTGTCTCTCATTATTTCATATTTTCATCAACACAGAGATTGATTTGCATCAAGTCCTTGTACAGTATTATTCCGCACATGAGCCCACTCCCCTTCCTTTCTCTCTCTGACACAAGGTGAAAGCGGAAGGTAAGAGATATATGGACACTATTCAAGAGACTTGATGCAGTTCTAATACAGAGACTTTAAAGTAAAGGCCACCATAATATAGATGTAAGAATGCACTTTATAACTATGTCATCATTTGGTCTAAAATCCATTACTAAACCTTTCAATAAACATGACCGCTTATTCAAATATCCGCCAAATAGTTAGAATCACTAAACTTATTATGCATATATTTACTTTCTATTTAGGATACAAATACATATATAATGACTTGGGAACATGGTCAATGAAAACCAGTCCATTATTTTCTTTAACACTGCAGGCTCTATTTATGTGAACATGAACATTTCAAGTTCCTGGTTCCTTATAGAGTGAAAAAACATTCTGAATCCTTATTTGGTTAGCCAAACTGGCCTCTGACTATTTCAAATGACTCCAAAGTTTTATACAGATGAAATCTTAATGATCTCGTTTTGGAAATTTGAATATGAAGAAAATGTTATTATGAGCGAGGTGTTAGTGTACAATTGTACATGTATTTCATTTAATTTATTTCAAAGCATAATTGAATTGACAGTACCATATCATATTATATAAGATTGTATAAATATAAATTACTAATTATGACCTCATTAATTATGCACACTCTTATGTGACCTAGTGCCTCACGGTAATGCCGGGTTGTCGGCAGCGGCAGTAGATACTCTCAATTGCCGGTAACAAAATCCATTGCCGATAATCGCCATGCTGCTGCAACATGATGATTGGCATTGCGATCCATTGTCAAATTTACGAAACAATGTTCGTTTAAGAATATTTTATCAATCATGTATATTTCAATCTCCACATTTGAAGAGCTAATCTGTCAATCAGCTGCAAAGCATTCGTAAAAGGCGGGATGATAAGCAAAACCCCACCCACTTCTGTCAATCATCTCCCATGCCGCGAGATTAACAAATCACGTGACGTAATATTTCGGTGAAGTAAAAACAAACACAAATAGTTTGATCAATTTTGATCGAATTCACTCTATATTATCATTCAAAGACTTCCTCACAATACACAATCACACACGAGATACACGATGATACAATATATCCACTGTAGTTGATGTGAGCGGGAAATCAAGCTGAGAAATCGGCTTCGTTAAGGATTTTTCCAAATATTTTAGTTTCACTTTCAGGTTTTTCCCCGGGATTTTAGGAACATTATCAGTATCAACGATTATCGGTAACGGTAAGGTAATGGAGGTGAAATATACCGGCAGTGAGATCCATTACCGTTGCAAGCACTAATGTGACCTTGAAACCTCATTCCCACATACTATCTTTGGTAATCAAAAAATCCAAATGAATTCAGTAATATCAGGTTGAAAATTCAAAATTTTTTCAGATCAGAATGGATGGACTGGCGAATGGACTGGCGAATGGATGGCTTCTCTCTTATCGCTTCTAATAACTTTGTTCAGATAGATGTAGATAAAATGTAACATCTAAATTGATATAACAGGTCTCATGCCAACTTTTTGAGCAGGAGGTAGGTATTTTCACTACTTGATAATTTTCCAGGTTCACAGTTATGCAGTTTATATTTATTTGCCTCCGCAATGGAGTCCGAGAGTACAACTTGGCACAATTAGTCATCAGTATCTGGTATTTTTCCAAAAGCAGCATAGTTTTTATCATAGACTTTATTAATAAGTTGATTCATTTTGGTCACCAATTATGTACAATTTTGCAGGGGCTCTTTAATATATCCAAACCTAGCTGTACAAGAAGTGATTTCAACTACACATTTCAACCTATTGTTGCAAGTGAATGAGGGGATGTCGTGTTCTGCTCAAGTGAGTAAAAATTCATTACTTCATAAGAAACTAGAGCTGGCATCGAATAGGATTTTAATGTCGACATGTCAGAGCTCTTGATCGACGACGATATCGACATTGTCGGGTCCAATGATATTCGAAAAATGAAAAAAAATTTGAAGAAAAACCGTCTGAATTGTAGATTTTCTAGGCTTGTAATTAGCAATACGATGCACAATAGTCATCCTCAGTTGTATGTTTTATATTTAACTTACAGGTAAACCATGTTCAAGTATCAGACGTTGACGAAAAAGCAATAAATAGACATAAAACTACGATTTCTGTTGTTTTTTCAGGGCAGCCATTGAAAGTAAATCTCGAGGGTAAATTCGAGAGCAGGAAGTCGATCAAAACAAAAAAGAAAATTTGAAAATGTAGGCGGTAAAACTTCACTAGAATACACCATACAGCAGGTAGTAACAAAGATTTTAATTCATAGGGAAATAACTTATTATGTTGTGAGTTCCGACTGTCGATCAAGAGGCGTTGTGTCGACATGGGTGTCGCAGAGAGCATTCGACTGACAATCGACCATTCCGACATTCAATGCCAGCTCTATAAGAAACCCTACTTTTTTTATGACAACAAAACTTACCCATAATTTATTGTTGTAGAGGAAAGCTTCGTGTAATCCTACAACATTTTTATGTTTGCATTCTGTTAAAATCTCTATCTCCACAATAAAGTCCTGGAGCTCCTCATCATCTTTGATTTCTACTTGTTTCAAAGCAGCCAGCAACCCATTCTTTTTATTCTTGGCCTGAAAGTGTAATGTTCATTTATCAAAGATAAGATTCAGGGCTTTCACCGGGCTTTCACCATGGTTACATTGTGATACAAACAGTTCGAGTTCTTTATATTTCCGTTGTGTTTAATCATCAGGGGTTTCACTAGAATTTCTCACAACAGGCTGAATAAATGAAAACAACAGGCAAAAGTATAATGGAAATCATAAATTTAGCATGAAAAGTCCCTAGAAAGAACAGGCGACTTTGTGAAAACAACTGGTGAAAAATCGCCTGTTGCCTGCTGCTTATGAAACCCCTGATCATATTTTCAAAAAGTAAAAAGTATTTAAAAGGTTGTCAACATCAAAGACAAGATATGTAGATGATAAATCACAATCAAAGTCAAACAGGGAATACTGAGCAAATATTTGAAGAGAAAATGTTAGTCTTAAATGTTGAACTTATTTCGATTTTAATTATTGGACTACCCTCCTCTCATTTGAAAACAATCAAAAGCTTTAAAATGGCAGGTCTCAAATTTGGAAGCCATTTAAATTCATGGGCATACATAGACACAACTATGTACATGTACCTTAACATTGTTCAGGAATCAAAAGCTACAGGTACATAAATAAATGAGTAGTCGATTTGCTATCACAATTTCCAACCAATGGGGGATTGAAAGCCCAAAGTTTCCAATAATATCCAGATACATATCCCCTAAAATGTTTATATTTTACATTTTGGATATTCTCATCCACTGATGTATGGCCTCTTGGAAATTCTCTCATTTTTTTAACATGGAGAATTCTCATTTCAGCAAATCTATGACTACCCAAACTGTAATTCTTTCATTTACAAATAATTTTGTATATGTGAATCACAGGGAGTAAGGCATAAGTCCCCCTCCCCCTATAATGTGAATGTATACTTTTTTATCATACAGTAAAACCTGTCTTGGTGAAAACCTCTCTCTAGTGATCACATGCCTCTCGAGAACACCTCTTCTCCGCACATATTTTATTGACTAGTGTAACTGTATAAATTACACTCTCTGTAGTGAACACCTACCAAATGAACAAAAAATGTTCAATACACACAGGTTTTAATATACTTCTATAGTCATTTTCACAGAAAAAGGGAAATGGCTTATATGGACGATTCTATAAACCCTCCATATGCATCTCCATGTGAACCAAAAACAAATCTGGGCCTAAAGAAAGTCCATGAAGATATTATTTTGCTCTCAAACTTACTTTGTAGACTTTTCCAAATGCCCCATCACCTAATTCACCAATAATTTCCCATATCTCTGTTGGATCTTCACGTCGTAGTAAATTATAACGTTCTTCTTGTTTTTTCTTCTTTTCCTCTTCATCAGCTTTTGATGAGAAAAGTTTCTTGAAACTTTTTAGAAATGACATATTGTAGGCGTCGTATTCTTTTAATTATAAAAATGGTCCTATTATGCTGTTTACTAATCCTAGTCTCTCAATTCACTCCAATCTGCAATGTCACCTCAAAAATTCAACAGAAAAAAATATTCACAAAAACAAACCAATAATTTTACTTCTGCGATGTTTTCATGCTTCGATATGCAACTTATCAAACTATACTTCGATTGACATGTAGTTCATACTAAATTTTTTCCATATATATCATCTCTATGGCTGTATATCCAATGAATTAAAATCCAATTGAGGAAATCTAGACGAACACTTCTTTTTCACATCCGCCATGTTGATTTACCACGCCTGCTCAGTGAGCACTGATGACGTCACTGAGTGCAAGTGCACTTAACTCAGAGAGGTGGGTTCAAGACCGATATAAAGATGTCAGTAGTGTACAAATTTACTCTAACAAGTACAAAGAGTGTTGCTACAAACTCTGATGGCGGCGTCTCAGTTATTTTGAATAGCATTTTGACTAAAGACCTCCAGAGACAACTGCCATATTATCATATTACCCGTTTGTCAAAATTTCACATCCCTTACATCCTTTAGTGTAATTTGCGCAAAATACACATTCTCTATTTGCGCGTACAAAACTCTACTCGATTACACCCATGTTCTTTCAAACTCAGTATTTGTGACTTTATTTCTCTAATATGGCTCATGCACTCGTTAGAAAGATAGTTATTGTTGGAGGAACTGCTCTTATTATCGCTTTAGGTGAGTTTTAGGCCAGCGACTTGGCCACACAACCAAACAAAAGTGTTATATTTACAGTCAAAGATTTTTTTTTTTTTCATCTGTTCAGTTCACAGTACCCCCATAAATGTGAGGTTATTTTGAGGTGTTTTATTATTTTTGAATTTTTTTCTCAAAATAACCTCACAAAGTTTACTATATTGATTCTTTGGGGAATTGTTTACATGATTTGAAGATTCAAGTCCGAACAATATCAGCAGTTTCCTTACCTTTTTTCTTCTCTTCTGTAAAGATGATTCTTTTTCCAATGTAATGAGCGATCAATCAGTCGAAACGATGCTTTATAACGGGAGTAATTTGCAAAATTGGAAGGAAAGTACAAAATTGAAAATGTTTGAGAAATTTCTGTTATCCGTACTAGATCGTCATTACAAGAATTAATAGATTATTTCAAGGGCTATCTTTTGTAGCAAGTTGATGATTAATGTCTTGTCGATACGAAAATAATAAAAAGTTTATAAAATTTGATTATTTTAGTACAAATTTAGCATGTCTTCTACCATGGGCGTTCAAGAAAAAATCCCCAAAGAATCAACATAGTAAGCTTTGTGAGGTTATTTTGAGAAAAAAATTCAAAAATAATAAAAAAAAACTCAAAATAACCTCACATTTATGGGGGTAGTTCACAGGTGCAGGGGATCGTATGGAGAGGCTAGAAACTCTTCTTAGGAGAAGAGTTTCTAGCCTCTGCCCTACCCTCAATGCGATCCCCTGTGATAGGAACTTCTGTGATAGGAACTTAAAAATTTGAAGTGATATTCATGTAAATCCTGACTCTTCAAATGTTGAGGTGATTTTGGAGCCCAATTACGCCGCAAGGAGGATTGGCTTCCAAAATGCAAAATGCTGTTCCGCCATTTTCAAACCTGTCACGAGTAAATAAGGTAACTGATGTTGTATTCTGGGAGTCAATCCTCCTTGGATCACAAGTGTGGCGATCCATTTAAACATTTGATTGATTTGGTAGGAATTCATCCATCATTTGGAGGTATGAAGCTTTGGATTCATTCATCGTGCTACTTAGAGCTGAGTGAATGGGAATTATTTTTCTACCACTTGGGAGAGTTTGAGACAAGAAACTTAGAATTTAGCTCATTGTGACAACTTTTGATGGTTGAGGTTTATCAATGTCTCCGACTTTATTTAGAATATGTCCTCGAGCGCCCTAGGTTATGCCATATATGTATGCAGAGACTTAAAATATGTCTCTGATGTATGGTTGTATTTCACTTGTAAAGTGTACTACTCACGCCCCAGCCCCCATTCATGAAGACTTTTTTGAAAAATTACAATTTATTTTTACAAATTGTCGTGCTTTCTAGAAGCTTTGAGAAGTTCTAGATCATGTTCAGATGAAATGTTGAGACGCCAGGATCTGCTAAGCCATGATTTGCCAAGGAAATGGGGGGGGGGGTCACTTTTTGAAAAATTCCAGAGGGGTTGACTTTTGACAACTTTGGCTGAAATATGCTTAACATCATGGGCTATCATGCGAAGGGGCGTAGCCAGCTCTCAGTCAGGGGAAATCGAAAGAGTCCTGGCTGGTTTAGATAAAACAATCACATACCAGGAGTGATAAAATTGCATTATTTGTGATGAACTGTGAATTAGATAACAAATTAGATGGTAGTCAAAATTTCATATATAACAATTCACAATTGCTCACGTTCATAATTTATATACAAAATATAATACAAACCCCTTAATTTTAGGTGCTCTTCAAATCATGAGATACAGAGAAAATAAGAGAGAAAAGCTTAAACCAAAACATCAATCAGGCAGGGACAGATTTAAACGTAATAAGAAAAAAATAAATGTCATCAGCCAACTCAGTGATTGGTCAGAAGTAAAAGCAGAGTTCCTTCAAGATGCCATTAAGTATAAGGTATTGGTATATTCTAACTCAGATTATTTGATATAACATCAGACACTGTAAATTATACAGTTTTTAAGCACGTAATATAACTATAAATATAACTAATTTCAGATTGCCCCTCATCCATAAATATGACTCTAATTGAACAAGTTTGACTAAAGCTAGCCATACACTTGCCGGACAAATGCGGATGTCAAGGGAGGTATAGAATAAAATATTTTCACCAGACAACTTCAGACTTTTTCAGCGGACAAGCCAGGACATTGTCCTATTTCGTCTGGGGTTGTCCGCCGGATATTCTTCCAGACTTGTCTATTTTTGTCAGTTTATGTCCAGTGAAAAGAATGAACATGTTAATTCTTTTCTCTGGACAAATTCAAAAGCATTGAGTCACGTGATGATCAATGACCATTTTCGAATAAAACAGGACATCATCGGACAAAGCAGGACAACCTCAGACATTGTATGATGATGTCTGTCGTACAACCTCAGACAATGGCGGACAAAATTAGACAAAATGGACAAAATCTGACAATGTCCTGAAAGTGTATGACTAGCTTAAGGAAAATCAACTTTCTCAAGAGAATAAACCCAATTTATAGAATGAACCATAGTCTAGCTGCAAACCTTGTGATCCGCCTCCCACCTCAGGCCCATAGCCAGGATTTGCCAAGGGGAGTTCACTTTTTGAAAAATTCCAGGGGGGTTCACTTGTGACAATTTTGGTCCAAAAATGGCCAAAATCACTTAAAAAGTGCTCAGAATGGTGAAAAATTGCATGATTTTGAAAGATTTTTTGGAACCCCCCTTGGCTACGGGCCTGCACCTCTTGACTACACAACTTCTCACACAGGGGAGATCTGAAGTGGGGGAGGAGCCATTAGGGCTTGAAGCTTGACTAAATGAACCACATTCTCTTGGTACCCAGCCTTTTACAAAATGAGGCATGTAATAACATGTACAAATGAACCATTATATTACCTAATGTTTTAGGTACTGGGCTTAGATTGTGAGTGGGTGACAAGAGATGGAAGGATGCAGCCTGTATCTATGCTACAACTTGCCACTGTGACTGGTCACTGTTGTTTATTCAGACTACACATTCTTGAATGTATTCCTGCAGACCTGCTTAATATACTGGCGGACAAAAGGTAAAAAATAATTATGATCTTCATCATTTATAGTCTTCCCAAATCAGATAATGCATATTGCGAGTGATGTTGAGAAGTATCAGTGCCAGTCGCTGCTTCGTAGGTTGTGTGATATAAAAGCAATCCTACAACCTGTCTGCTATATATTTACTTGAAATCAAGTCAGAACTGTTCGAATGATGAGAGAAATAAGTATTGTAAAATTGTGACAGTTTTTCCAAAACTCACCTTTTACTCACTCTTTTTGGCCATTTGATATGAATTGCTCTTAATACAGCATTTTGAAAGTGGGAGTTGCAGTTCTTGATGATGGAGATAAGGGAATATCACAGTAAGAAAGAGGATGGTTTAAATAGTGGAAATCTGTGAAAATCTCAATTTTTCAAAAATGGCACTCGGAACATTATTATTCTCATACGACAGCATGTTTTGTGGGTTTATTACATCGAGGCAATCTTGACACTTGTCTACTCCATGTACACCCATGGGTTACCATTCATTGTTTAGTTAGCCATTTATATTATTACAGGATACTATGCCTGCATTTCTTTTGCTTAAAGTGGCTGCAAAGACAAGAGAGTTCATAATGTTGGAGCAATCTTCTCAAAAAGCAGTTTTTTAAAAAAAGCAATTACAAACCTATTAAATTTGAAAACAGGGAGCCTACTTTTAGGCAATGCTGAAATCAAATCAGAACTGTTGGTATGACGGGAACAGAAAATTTTGCAAAAGTGTGACAGGTTTCCAAATTAAGTTTTAAATTTTTACTTGTCTTTGTCTTTGTTGTCCATTTGACATGAATTGCTCTTAATGCAGCATCTTAAAAGTGGGGGTTGCAGTTCTTGATGATGGCCTGAAGCTAGGCAGAGGCTACCAGGTGTGTCTGAGGGGCTGTGTCGATCTTCGGTACCTCACTCAACGACTTAAAGCTTACAAAGGAAGGTAATATAAGTTATAACATTGAATGTATCATTTCTATATTAGAACGGGTATCTGTATCCTCAAAGGAAAAATCTCCTTACCAGAGTGTCATCTAAGTTTTTGTTTATTTTTTTAGGCACAACAAATCAATTTCTATTATCATGTTAAAATGTGAAAGATACATTGTACATGTACACAATTTTACACAAATGGGCTACCAAAAGCCGAAAAAAGAATGAGTATATTGATTGAAAAAGAAATAAAATTAGTTAGAAAGTGATCAAAATACTAGTATTAAGAACTTTTGAAAATAGAATTCATACATTTAGTGTTCTCTCCAAGATTCATCTAGGTGCTTAATACTATTCTTTTCATTTTTGTATGATGCCATGGTGTCAAAATATCAGAGTTGTAATTATGGTAACCCTTTTCACCAAATAAATGTGAACTTTGATAAAACAAATTTTTCAAATTGCCTATTCCAGTATTTGAGTGTATTGCATAATTGTAGGACTGGACTTGGTTTGAAGGTGCTTGCTAGAGAGTTACTAGGTGTTACATTAGAGAAAGACATAAGAACTCGTTGTAGCAACTGGGAGGCAAAGCAACTATCGGAACAGCAAGTTTGTCGCTTCATTGAACTTTATGTTTATTGGAGGGCCATTTTTTCAATGCACATCATGTATAAGTAAATGAAGTAATAAAGAATTAATTTATGTGAGGGATATTTCATGCAGAGTACATAACAATTGTTTATTTGTCATTGCTTAATTTTTATGTAACCATGGTTCCCAACTTTTTTGTGGTCTGGTTGGCATCTGTAACAAAAGGGAGGTGGTGACAATTTGCATGTAAATGCCTTGTTTTATGGTTTAATTGTAACAATCTATTCTTTATTATTCTAGGTAGAGTATGCAGCAATGGACGTTCTAGTAGCGATTGATATCTTTACTGAGCTTGTATACAGGAAACTTTCACGTCAAGATATACCAACATTTGATGCATTCTGGTCTAAAATGCCACCTTTATGCCAAGGCCTGGTCGATGTGAAATACAAAGAAAAGAAAAGACAAGTTGGTCCACTCTTACCAAAGGTACCAGTGATTTATGTCTATGAATGACAGTTTTGATGATACAGTAAAACCTGTATATCCAAACACTGTTGTAATTTGAGCAATATGCTCACGTGAACACTTTTTCTTGAAACTTCCCATTCACTCCAATGTTTAAGAAGCCTTGAAATGTAGACAGATTTTACAAATATTACACCATTGTATGAAATAACGAACAGATCCATTAGGTTGATGGGAGTCTTGTCATGTGACTTGGTACACTGATTCTCAGCTGACAGTAGCGAAATTTGAACACATCACTATTCATTTCCTGAGTATGACATGATTAAAAAACTCCTATAACTGTATTTTTATTTTCTCCTTTAGGCCGATGATGCAAGTTCAGAATCAGATGAATCAGAGGAATCTAGTCCCCTCTTCAATAGTCCTCATTCCAACAGTCCTCCCTCCAGGTCCTCTAGCCACACAACCATAGCCAGCCACAACTCTAGTAAACCACTGGGCAAAGCATTTATGCCAAGAACGAAGCCTCTCTACCACAATTGTCAACTTGAAGCCATCGATGGTCAAACTCTATGCACTTGCGATATAAAGAAAGCAGAGTGGTACATTCTTAAAGGATTAGGAGGTGTGTACACATTACAGGGTGACCCAAAAAACGTAACTGCCTAAAGCTTAATAATTTCTTTAATATCTGCACAATCAAGGTTATTTCCCAGATATATTTGTTTTGTCGTAAAAATACAGACAATACAGATGAAATCTCAAGTTGAGGATATCCTCAATAGAAACTATGATCTATGGATAACAAGCTTTGCTGAACATTTCATATAAAATAGATTTATACCATGAACATTTTTTTTTATAGAAAAAGTATGTGATGATCCATTCACCGTAAAGTTGAATTTTGAGCCAAGTGGGCGCCCAGAATCTGGCGAGAATTACTATCTGGCTGAGAAGTTGAATATCTGTGTTGTGTGTGGCAGCGAAGACTCCTATATACGCAAAAACATTATTCCAAAGGAATACAGGAAGTAAGTGTATGGTCTGAAGTCTGAATCCAATCCAATTTTTTGGCCTTTAGTACCTTGTATCATGGAATTTTAGTATTCTTGGGGTCTCAACATTTTAAAATATATTGGGTCTAAATTCTCAGAGGGGATTGTTTTTAAAATAGCACCAGGTTTATAAATGAAGCCAGTGAATCCGTTATTATGCAAAAGAATTCCAACAGCATTGATATCACTCGGACATATTGATGCACAATAAATGAGCTGCTAATATCGGATATCATAAGGTCAATGCTACAAATTAACATAATTTTTTCAGATATTTTCCACCAATCATGAAGGAGCATAAGTCACATGATATCTTACTGCTGTGTACAGCGTGTCACGAGATGTCTGGAATACACGACTTTCAGCTACGAGAGCGGCTAGCTGCAGAGTGTGATGCCCCTATAGGGAGTATGGAGAATGTCAAATACCAACAGGACTCTGAAGTACAGAAAGTCAAGAGCAGTGCAAAGTGAGTATCCTTAGAAGTCCATATTCATAAAATATTTAAAGTGTGCACCAAAGTTTAAAACTGTGCAGGCGCAGTGCTCTCGCTAACCCATATAAAGTGATTACAGGGTTCAGGCTTCAGAGGTAAGCCAGGAAGGTGAACAACTATCGTCCCGTGTTGATTTCCCGTATAATCGTAACCATGCAAGTTTCACCATTGAAATTGAAAATTACTATAATAACATATACTTTGCAGATGCTATTTATCACAGGCTGGTATCGAAAAATTTGTCCGCTGTGACGGAGCGTGCTATTTTGCATAGAAACATTAGTAAATGCACACAATTTATTTTTTTTACTCATATGTTTTGATATATCAAAGAAAATTACTGACTCCATGCAATGAATATATCGTTTGCGGGTAACTTTAACTTCTGTTTGAAGTCCAACAACACTAAGAGTAAAAGCTATTGAAAACGGCGTCAGAGTATCATACTCCAAAATGTACCATTTCTTTTTATGTCACCACCAAAAGTGGTGACATATTGTTATGGTCTCCGTTTTTTTGCGACGGCGGTTGGTGGTTGTTTTTTTGCGACGGCGGTTGGTGGTTGGCGTCCGGCGTCTGGCGTCCGGCGTCTGGCGTCCGGCGTCTGTAACAATTTCTTACAACTTCCTATAACTTAACAAATACTGTTTAGACTGACTTCAATTTTTTTCTGAATCATCTACATGTTCTCAAAAGTTCAAATCTGACTTTAGATTTGACATTTGACCTTCAATGACCTTCTCAAGGTCAAAAAGGTCTTTTTTCAACTTGCTTCACATTGACTAAATTTTTTTTCAAAATCATCTACATGTTCTCAGAAATTCAAATCTGACTTTAGATTTGACATTTGACCTTCAAATCTGACTTTAGATTTGACATTTGACCTTCAATGACCTTCTCAAGGTCAAAAAAGGTCAAAAAGGTCTGTTTTCAACTTGCTTCAAATTGACTAAATTTTTTTTTCAAAATCATCTACGTGTTCTCAGAAATTCAAATCTGACTTAAGATTTGACTTAAGATTTGACATTTGACCTTCAATGACCTTCTCAAGGTCAAAAAGGTCTGTTTTCAACTTGCTTCAAATTGACTAAAAAATTTTTTCAAAATCATCTATGTATTCTCAGAAATTCAAATCTGACTTTAGATTTGACTTAAGATTTGACATTTGACCTTCTCAAAGTCAAAAAAGGTCAAAAAGGTCTTTTTTCAACTTGCTTCAAATTGACTAATTTTTTTTTTCAAAATCATCTACATGTTCTCAGAAATTCAAATCTGACTTTAGATTTGACATTTGACCTTCAATGACCTTCTCAATGTCAAAAAAGGTCAAAATGGTATTTTTTCATCTTGCTTCAAATTGACTAAATTTTTTATTCAAAATCATCTACATGTTCTCAGAAATTCAAATATGACTTTAGATTTGACATTTGACCTTCAGTGACCTTCTCAAGGTCAAAAAAGGTCAAAAAGGTCTTTTTTCAACTTGCTTCAAATTGACTAATTTTTTTTTCAAAATCATCTACATGTTCTCAGAAATTCAAATCTGAATTTAGATTTGACATTTGACCTTTAATGACCTTCTCAAGGTCAAAAATGGTCAAAAAGGTCTGTTTTCAACTTGCTTCAAATTGACCAAATTTATTTTTCAAAATCATCTACATCTTTTCAGAAGTTCAAATTTGACTTAACAAGTTCTCAGAAGTTCAAATCTGACTTTAAATTTGACCTTTGACCTTCAATGACCTTCTCAAAGTCAAAAAGGTCTTTTTTCAACTTGCTTCAAATTGACTAATTTTTTTTCAAAATCATCTACATGTTCTCAGAAGTTCAAATCTGACTTTAGATTTGACATTTGACCTTCAATGACCTTGAAAAGGTCAAAAAGGTCTTTTTTCAACTTGCTTCAAATTTACTTAATTTTTTTTTCAAAATCATCTACATGTTCTCAGAAGTTCAAATCTGACTTTACATTTGACATTAGACCTTCAATGACCTTCTCAATGTCAAAAAAAGTCAAAGAGGTATTTTTTCAACTTGCTTCAAATTGACGAATTTTTTTTTCAAAATCATCTACATGTTCTAAGAAGTTCAAATCAAACCTTCTTAAGGTCAAAAGGTATTTTCCAACTTGCTTTAAATTGACCAAATTGTTTTAGGTGGTGACATTTTGTCATGTTAATGCCTTGTATTTCTTTTTAATGGTACAGTATAGCGACACGATAATATTTACATATGTTTTCAGCATAACTCTGAAGGTATTAATGAGATCTTTATGTTTTGGGTATTTTTAATTTTTTTTATAAAAAATAATGTTTAATTTTTTTGTCCACTGTGACGGAGCAGTTTCAAATTTGAAAAACGTTAAGAATTTAGATTTATAATATATATTTTTACAACTACACTTTAGAGGAGCGAGCGTGTCAAATCTCTTTCGTAAGTATTCTGAAAAATGAAACGTAATGAAAGTACACAATTCAAATTCTGAGATGTATATACGACCACTCTTTAAGCTTCTTTTCTCAGTTTGTACTGCAATCCAACTTATGCATGATAACTCATAAAAATGTTAGTCAACTTCATTTCAGTATAGGGTATTTGCCTTTCGTAGTGCCTACTACGGATCCATCACCTGACATGGTCATTTTTGCGGTAACTTGATTATTTGAAGTAAAATTATTTGCTGAAGATGAAGCTAAATACATATTATATGGTATGGACTGCGGATTGTTCTACCCTCTTTAGTCGTTCCGAAAGGTAAGTGGAGTGTATCTTGAAATACGAAAATGCAAAATTTGATTTTCAGATTGTTCTTTATTTGAATAAGAGTTATGGCTATCTGATGCAACTACAGTAAAACATGTGTACAGTGAACGCATATGGAGCCCAAAAATGTGTTCCCAGTTGGTAGATGTTCACTCCATAGAGGCAATTTCATACAGAAGTCAGAGGAATATTTGATAAGAAGAGGTGTTCACTAGAGAAAGATATTCATTGATACAGGTTTACAGTGCAGCACGTTTACCAAGACTTTTTTTGTAATTTTAGTCTATGCAAAACGATGAATTTCATGAATTTCAAATAATTACAAATTAAATCTGTATTGGGATCATCTTTTATACAGTAATATTATATGGTAAAAGGTTGTATCTGTCGGAATGCAGGATGCCTGTGCGCTATTTCGAATAAATTCATATTAGCCCTATTTACACTACACTTGACATTCCAAGACGTCTTGGCGAAAACGTAAATAGAAATATCATGTTGAGTTTACACCATGTTGATTCATGTTGATTTCAGTACAAACCTCCGAAAAAATGCAAAGAGTGGTCGTTTTTATATCTCCGATTTACATTACCCCAGATCCCCCAGAGGCTAATTGTCATAATTTAGGAAAGTGATTTGTGACGTTCTCTCTCTAAGGTTACTTTTAAAAGATATAATTTGAATCTTAAATTCTTAACGTAGTTCACAGTTAAAACTGCTCCGTCACAACTGACAAAAAATGTAAACATTATTTTTTATAAAAAATATTAAAAATACCCAATACATCAAGATATCGTTAATACCTTCAGAGTTATGCTGAAAACATATGTAAATATTATCGTGTCACTATATTGTACCATTAAAAAGAAATAAAAGAAATGGTACATTTTGGAGTATGATACCCCGGCGCCGTTTTCAATAGCTTTTACTCTTAGCGTTGTTGGACTTCAAACAAAAGTTAAAGTTACCCGCAAATGATATACCCATTGCATGGAATAAGAAACTTTCTTTGGTATAGCGTAACATATGAGTAAAAAAATAAATTGTGTGGGTTTCTTAATGTTTCTATGCAAAATAGCACACTCCGTCACAGCGGACAAATTTTTCGATACCAGCCTGTGTTTATGAAGCTGTTAGGCGTAGTATGCATCAATCAATCCTGGTAAAATTCACAGAGCAACAAGATCTCGAGGACAATATTTCTAAAATGTTTTTGATTTTTGAAAAACGGTCAGGAAATCCAATCGGGGCGTTAGTAAAAATTGATAAGCAACTCTTATTCTCTTATTATTTGAAGAATAAAGAAATCGGTTACTGTTTTGTAAATTTCGCCATGACAATATTGTGCAGTTAAATTTTTTTTGAAAGCAGACCTAAATTAGAAGGTTAAATAAAGGTAAACTTATTGCTTGTCTCCTTCGCCTTCAAAACCTTACACAATTTTGAAAATATTAAAAGCGTTTATATAAGACGATTTGAATTGTAGTTGCTAGGCAATTGTGACGTCATAAAAGCACATGTTTCAATGAATAAAATGTAAAATTTTAGTAAAATTCTGATCAGTATTTCAAAAGTTATCCCGATTTCAACGAACTGTGTAAGCGTGAAATGTTACGCCTTACAGCGTATTTGACGATGTCGGAGTACATTTAACTTAAAAAACATGGTAGATCCCATCACACATTTCAAGGAAAAATAATTTCAGTGAAATGCGAATAAAAAATACTTCAAAATGATATATAATGCACATAGTTAGCTTTTTAAATAAGGCAGGTATTAACGCTTAAAGCTGAGATTAGCCCGTATTTCCCGAATTGTCCCCAGGTCCGTGCACGTCATAATTCCAATGTAGTACACACATAAATAGTGTACATTATGTAGTACCTGAATAGTCTGGTTTATATAATATTGAAGGGCATGCTGATTGTACACACAAGTACATGCATGAAGGCCTAATATTGATATACGTAGCTTGCATACCTAAATAAAAAATAAACTCTTCTAATCCCCTAATGTAAACACGGTGGTATACATAGCCCAATTTATCGGGAACTTCATTCTCCTGTTCCATTAAAAACTACACCTTGTGCTTACATTATAAAATGGACCTGACTGTTGAAATCTCCAATAATGAATAAATGACCACCCTTTGTGATACTGAACAGCCAGAAACATGTTACTGTATGCTTATTCAGCTGGAGGAACTTTTTACCATTCCTTTGGGTTAATCACCCTTCGATTCATATTGAGAAACCTTTGAAGTTATTTTCAGCTTTAGTAGTTTCCATTGGCGGATCTAGGGTGAGGGGCCAAAATTTTGTAGGACGAGAGCGGCTAGCCTTCAGTGTTTTTTAAATTATTTTCATGATTTGTAATTTGCTTCTGAATCCGCTAGTGTCTTCTCTGTGACTTAATTAATGTTGAATATGAACATATTCTACATTAAGTATTGAATATTTGATTTTTCCAGGGCGCTGAAGAATTGCAGAGACCAGATTCCTCACTACAGAGTGATTGAACTGGAAGATATTATCAGAGATTACTACAATGTTAAACTGATTGATGATGATATCTTAACTAAGGCCTTCAATATGGAAACAAGGTACATATACAGGGTGACCCAGAATAGACAGTTTGATATGGAAATACCCTCTCATCTATCTGTTCTATTGTCGATCTGTCTCAAATATTGCTTATTTTCATTTTATAGGGATTCATAACGGTAATTTGTACCATTGATTGTTTCCAGCTCCTACTTTAGCCTCATAGTTGAGAAATCAGTGTTTTTTGTCAGATATTGATTATAAAGGTGCAATAATTTTCACTGTGTGTCTTGTAAAAATGACCGTCATTTATGAAGAAAAGGAGGTTAATCAGTCACATTTCTATTTGTTGAATAGAGTTGATAAACTAATCGTTTTTCCCTACCAACATGAACATGATCCTCCATCCCTATTATTATGTGTGCCTGTGACTTTCAAATATTTGTGGTATAAAATTCTGTTTCATATGTTTCCTGAACTGGAACATTTTTCATAGAATTATACCCAAAGTTTTTGCAAAATACCTAGAGTTTAACCTGTAAAGTCGAACACTTTTCTAAATTCTGTTGCTATTGACTTAATATAAAATGAAACTCTGTAGACTGAACACCTTCAATGTGGAACATTCTAAAGATGTTCCACTTACATAGGTTATTAGGTTTATACTATTTCTTATCTCACTACTGTACAAATCTGTATTAATTAAAGGGACATTCCTTGTCAGACCATTTCTCTCCTGATATGGTAGGTACAATCATACATATTTTCATCAAACAAAACACGGGGAAATGTTTTAATATGGTAAATTGATCATTTGAAAATATAATATTCATTTCCAGAAAGCTGACATCTTTTAAGATTTCATAAAGGAAGTGATGTCATCGACTCTCAGCTTTTCTAATTTAACTTGCCTATAGTTGTTTAGGACAGAAGCACAAAATCACTTCTAGACAAGTGGTCCTTACTTTCTGTGCAAAAATATTTTCAGGGGTTGTCAACTTAGAATGAAAGAAGATTTTTGGAAGGATAAATTTGAAAAAGAATGGTTCAATGTTAAATGTCTCATTAATTGTTTTCCAGAGTTGAAAACAAGGAGTTTGTTCCACATGGAAAGAAGGTTGTTAAGGCCAAAATGGAACACGGAGGACTGATGCAGTTTGAAAAGCTATGGAGACAGCATTTTCTCGACTGTATGAGACCCCAGTTTCTACCAAAACTATGGTCAGTTGAGCACAACCACGATAAAATTAAAAGAATGGAGTCTCAATTTAGTCTCAGAGCTCCTGTAACTGTCACGTCGGAAAGTGGTGATGTAAATGATGCTGGTGATTTGCTCAAACAGAATGACACATCCCCACAGCGTTACTATGGCAATCAGAATGATTTGAATAAAGTGGACAATGACCCACTTGGTGCTGAAGCTGTTGATCCTTCAGTGAAGACCTTTAATATAAAAGTTCAAGACAATATAAGGTGACACAGCATTAGGACATATAAAAATGTGATCCTTTAGAATAATCTCTATTTCGGTTAACATTTTCCCAAGACATATTACTTCATTATCATGATTATGATCTGTAAGTTGGTCATAATTAGATTTTTGCACAAACTTTATTTTCTGAAAACATCAATAAAACATTTCCCCAAAAATAATACACTCAATCCAAATGCTATGTGAGCATAAGCCGTTGATCAATACCTTACAGGGGTCTCCTTACACACATATATTTCTCTACACTTTGTAGGGGGGGGGGGGGGGGCACTCACTTTTAGTGCCACATCCTCAAATTTCCATATATTTTGTGTAAAAGGATTTTTAAAAAATTAACAGAAAGTGACGTGCATTTTATTAATCGTTATAATTAGAACATAGTAGTTATATCCTCTAATGGATATTGACTTCCCGGGGATACAATTCGAAAACATACAACAAATATAAAGTATTTCAAATAATTTATTGAAAGCAAAATTAAAGTATGAGTACAGTAAAACCTATCTTGGTAAACACCTCTCTCTATTGGACACCTGTCTCTAGTCGACACCCTTCCTCCGCACATACTCTCCTGACTTCTGTTTAAAAACCCTCCCAGATGTGAACACCTACCAATATTGAACGTTTTTTCTTGGCCAAAAAGTTAAATACACACAGGTTTTACTGTACTTGTAAAAAGTATTTAATTACATATATCCAAGACTGATCCAAGAAAACTAATGAACAAAGATTCAAATTATTTCAAAAAACTGTATTCGGTGTGCCATTTGTTGAAACACATTTTACACTATAAGCTTATCAGTAAATATTTCATTAGTTTAATTTTGTTATATAACGACTATAATATGTCTGTTACATCTAAAGTATGATTGAGAACTTTATTATCAATATACAGTGAAACTTGTTAAGTTGTATATATATAGTATGATTCCAGTACTTTATTATCAATATACAGTGCAGGCCCGTAGCCAGGGGGATGGGGGTTCTATTAACCCCCCCCCCCCCCCCCCGACCAAAGATTCTTTAAATTCATGCAGTTTTCACCATTCCGAGCACTTTCCAAGTGATTTTGGCCACTTTTGGTCCAAGGTATTCAAAAATGAACCCACCTGGAATTTTTTAAAAAGTTAACCGCCCTTGGCAAATCCCAACTACGGGCCTGACAGTGAAACTTGTTAAGTTGTATATTTGTAGTAAAACACCTCATTTAGATAAAACACTTTCCAATGCTTTGATGCTCTGTGATTATTCTCATTGACGTTTGTTTTTAATAAAACACCTAAAAAAATTGTCTGATTCTTTGAGTTTTTATGTTTACTTGACTTAAATATAAAATCATTAATGTCCAAGGTTGCCGTTTGATTGAATCTATATTACATCACCTTTTTCAGAAAATATCATCTGGTACCAGATACGTCTGATTCAGATCATTACTTATTAGTGTTTGTTAATGCGCCTCCTGCAGAGCTTCCATAGCCATAACCTTTGGGACCAAACTGCTGACCGTAGCAACCTGCAAAATAAGTGTCCATTTTTAAATGGCTTTTGAAGAAGAAAATGACAGGATCTGTGACTTAGACTAAATAGTAGAGAGGTTTTGCATGTAATTTTTTAGCCCAACATATATCTAATAAATGATACCTTCCTGCACAACACACTTCATTATTTACCATTTTCAACAGTTTCATTTTGTAATTATATCATTAGGCCATAAGAAGTAGATTCTTTGTTTTGTGTCCTGGCAAAATCCAAATCATGCAAGGGTACAAGGAAAACAAACACAAACTCAAGAAAAAACAAAAACTTGTTTGCTGAGAAATGTATACATTTTATGGGCTTAAAAAGGGATGCCATACCAATTTGCAGTGATTACAAACACATATCTATACATTTCATACACTATATTTAAACATAGCTATTATTCAAGGGTGAAAAATAAGAAAATACACAATGTATGCCAAAGTAATCAAGAACACTGTCAATTTTGACGCACATCAAATTATCTGTCTGATTTCATCTCATTCTGATTGAACGAAAGGCGATGGTGCTTTCAGACCCTTGTGATTGCTATTTGGATGTGTTTGTTTTTTCTGATTTACTCAAAATCTTGCAAGCAAGGGGACGCAAAACAAAGAATCTACTTCTTATGGCCTTACCCCAAAATGGTAACTCGAAGGAGTGGGAAAAATAATTTTCTGATGTAAACATTACATGCTTAGTGGTACCAAGAAATATCAAGAATTTTGAGGTTAAAAATATTTGATCTCAGATCAAAGATACTACAGATCAATATTCCAGAAATACAACTTTTTTATTATGTTGATTGTAAACTACAACTGAACATAATAGATGGCGAACAAACAAAAGAATGAAAGAATTGTTTTCATGGTTGAATAGAAACACACTGAATAAATATTGAAGAAAAAGAAATTGTCAAAACATAATTCATATTTTTATGAACTGGCCCTTGGTGAATGTATGGCCTGAAATGAAACTTACTTTTGCAGTAAATCTCTCCATCTTTGTCTCTCACTGTATTGGAATCCAGTTTCTTGTTACAAGTTTTGCAACTGAAGCAGGACTTGTGCCACTTCTGGAATGTGATTACATAATGTGTCATGTTTTGATGCAATTGTCAATAAAAGAAATATATAATGTGTAGAATCTGATAAATTATTGGAATATATACTGATAAAGGAAGTGTCATGTCTAGGGAAATATATTGTAATTGAACAGTGTAAGGTCAAAGTCCACTGACAGATCTGGGGGGGGGCCTAGTCTCCCTTGGGGGGCCCAGAATTAAAAATTGGGCCCAAAAAACCCTTAAGGCTCCCCAATTTTGAAGATAATGGGCCTCAAAATTTCAAAATTTGGGCCCACTTTTGGGTTTTAGGGGCCTAAAAAGTTTTTTATCGTTGCATCGAGGCAAGCCGTCGTAAACCATCTTTGTTAAAACTTGAAAAGCAAATTAAAATATGTATTTTGTTACTATGATCTTTTCATTGGTTATATTTGGTATATTTGGACTTACAGCTCCAGCTCCAATAATTTCCTCAGCAACATAGACATTCTTCCCGCATCTGGGACACCGTCCTGAAGCACTAGAAACATAAGTTTTGGAAAACAGGTAAGATATTTTTCTAATTGAGTTATATCAATTCAAAAGGTACTCGCACATCATCATCATCTAGCCTATATTGAAAAGAAGAAGCAGGTATAAAATATTGCATTTGTTATGATCATGGGGTTTCAACTCTAATTAAAAGCCCATGTTACATCATGATAAACCATGACATCTCTTTTTTTCTCAGCCCTGAGATGCCATGATATAATGAGCTTGATTTGGCGATCTAGGAGAGCTCAAAATTGAAGATTTTCGAGATCTTTCATCCCAGCTCATATTTCATCTAATTGGGGACATAAAACTTGTATACCTGTGCCTGTTCTACTATCTGCTGTTAAATACAATGCCCATTATGTAATGTATTGACATTAAAGTAAATGATTACATGATAACTATCAGACTTATTGACAGTTATAACTCTCCCCATCTGATGTGCTCAGATCACAGAATATGCCTCATAATATCTGAGCATGTTTCAGATGAAACAGAAAGAATGCGTATCAAAATGTCAGAGTATCAGAATGCCCATGTCATAATTTAATAAGATGAAATCATGTGTCATTTTCTGATGCAATTCTCTTCTTTAAAGATATTAATTATAATTTCAAACGACATGTTTTTTAAATCGAGAATGAAGTTGAAATATAAAAGCACTTAATGAATACATGTAGATGTCTTTCGATTTGAATAAATCATAGTTTTAGGTGTATAATGTTGTTCTAGTAAAACTACTAAAAGTGCAATCAAATAAAGTTGAAAACATTATCAGGCCTCCTAGACTTCCAACAACGCGAACATCAGTTCTGATACCGCGAACTACGTTCCTTGCACTCGAACCACGAATCTCATATTGCGAACGTGAAATCTTATGTCGCGCACCACCATTTCCTTGTTTCCGAACATATTTCTTGTACCTCGCACAGAGATCCGTTACCGCGAACAATTTGTACATAATACATCCGGGTGTTTGGGATTCCAAGTTACATGTATATACCAATATGCAACGGATTGAAACAAGGAAACGAAATTCAGTTTCTCCTCCGCTTTCGCCGGACTTTCATTCCTTTGAAAAGCATGCAAGATTAACATCCACGCCCCGAGTTGGCAGGGCTTTTAAATGATGTGTCAAAGGACAGCACTGCGTCCCACAGTCATTCATTTTTGGGATCAGAGAGTATCTGCGCACGCAGTGGTGTAATAGGAGATGTCAACAACAACGAAAGTGTAGAGGTGTGTGATAACTGTGGTTGGACCAGAAACTGTCTACTTGACACTAGTATATCACACGCTTGCACCGACGATCATGTTCCCGACATGTGCAGAGGTTTTTCTAATCTGTCAATCATCAAACGTTCATGTTCCATCTTATGAAGGGATTATATCTCACATTTTCTGTGATTTTTCAGAGTGTTCGAAAATAATGTTGAGAGTAGGGCAAAATGGCCCATGGGTGGGGCAGAACAGCCCACACTGAAAGCTTCGGTTTTAAAACCAAGATTAATTAACTACAGGACTCGTCAACACACATTTATCTCAGACGGTCAAAGATTAGACAGATAGAATATTCTTAGCCCTTACCCTAAAATTACGATTTAGTACTCATTTGATATGTTTTGAAACAAAAACCAAGTGTTAAAATCTTTATCGGGATGATAGATTGTTATTTTCCTGTATGTAAACAGTTAATTCCACAAGCCGTAATGGGGGGGGGGGGCAACATTTAAGTTAAGTTTTCATGGCAAATGGTAGCATCTTCAAATTATCAGTAGCTGGAGCTACAGATATAGCACATCAAGTACTCTATAAAATCAGAAATATTGTACATAGGGTAACTCATTTCTTTATTATGATGCAATCATCGGCTCAAATGGACAAAATTGGAAAAAGCTGTCACTAATTTGGCAATACGTGTTGTTACTCAAAAGTCAGGTTTTTGTTTTTGTTGTTATTACGCAGCCCTTTCACTGAAAATGTCAATGCGCGTGATTGCAAGGTAGTCCCAATAATTTGTGTTTCCTAGAGCTTGAAAATACTGTTATCGTCAATGAGTGGATGTTCATTCACATGCATGAAAACTGGGAAAATATTTCTTCCGAATTCCATAGGCTATGAAAACACCTCCTTACTTATGCGTAATAATACGAACAAAGTTAGGGACTTTTTTTCGATCAGATGCGTGGTTCGCGGTAACGGATCTCTGTGCGCGGTACAAGAAATATGTTCGGAAACAAGGAAATGGTGGTGCGCGACACAAGATTTCACGTTCGCGATATGAGATTCGTGGTTCGAGTGCAAGGAACGTAGTTCGCGATATCAGAACTGATGTTCGCGTTCTTGGAAGTCTAGGAGGCCTGATTATCATTTACTCTAAATAACAAAATTAAAGATCCAGACAGATTATAATACGTTATTAAAAGCAAGACATTTTGGAACAAGGCATTAACATGACAAAATGTCACCATCTTGTTTCTCACAATATTGTTAGTTCAATCGTAAGTCAGATTTGAGTTTCTGAGAACTTGTAGATGATTTTGAAAAAAAATTGGTCAACTTAAAGCAAGTTGAAAAAATACCTTTTTACCTTGAAAAGGTCAAATCTTAAAAATAAAGTCTCAGATTTGAACTCCTGAAAACTTGTAGTAGATGATTTTAAAAAAACTGAATAGTCTAAACAGTATTTGTTAAATTATTGGAAGTTGTAAGATTTTGTTACAGACGCCAACCGCCACACGCCGATCGCCAACCACCAACCGCCGATCACCGCAATAAAAAACGGAGACTACCACAATATGTCACTACTTTTTGTTGTTGACATAACTTAAGAGATCAGGAAACTGTTAACATTTGAAAAATAATTTTCCTTAAAAAGGGAATTAACGTAATTAAGGGGAATCCTTAAAAATAATGTGTATTGAAAACAACGAGTGAAATCTTTTTCCATATTACAAGATTATAATACTAAGAAATAATGAAGATGGCTTGGTAAAGTTACACTTGTAAAATCATAATGCTCTCACTATTTTTTGGATACCTAGTATACTGCAAGACTTTATTTTGTAAGATAAGATTGTTAAATAGATTACTTTTTTTTAATCCCAGCAATTTAGGGAACAAATAGATTTTATTGGTTAGACTTTTGTACAATATAATTTACCCAAAGGCGTATTTAACAAGTTAGAGCTAAAATTGAGACGCTAAAAATAAGAGAAAATAAAATACATTTTAATTGTATCCCTGTACAGAATATTGATTTGCGTTCAGTAAGAAAAGGGTTTGTAAAAATAGTATTATTATTGAAATCAGTGGAATGTTAAACAGAGCAGTATGCTCAAACAGATCTTGTAGATCATATAGAAAGTGTTTTGAGGTAATATGGACAAAAAATAAGTCAATGCAATTTGTAAAATATGTAATCAATAGTGAAAACAAAGTCACAAACGCTTTTTCTAACAGCACAAATTCAAAAGAATATTTGAATACAAATAAGTTTTCTGAAAGAGAAATTTTATTTTACTTTTTTAAATATTTAGACATTAGTATGAAATATGGAAGCTGAGGAATTCTTAAATCCAATAACATTAAACTAATAGCAATGACTTCTAATATTATGCAAAAACTTTTTCAACTTAGTAGCTAAATAAAGTTTATTATGAAAATCTCAAATTTGAAATCTTCGATACCTTTGAGTCCTGAAAATTGCATAATTTTGATCCATGTGCAGCCAGATAGGGTTTGATGACCGAGAGGGTGCCTATTAGATAGCTCTCAGCAAGAACGTAATTGAAAGAAAGATTGAATTGTCTGAAGATCGATAAAAAATATGTGAGCTTCCGAATATTTCAAGGTATCATACACTTCAATTTTGAAATGAAAAATATGTTATTAAACGACAAATTAACGCACACTCCTGGACCATAAAGCCCCCTCCCAATAAACAACAAATTATAATTAAGCTTACCCATATGGCATATTCCTGACAAAGACGTACCGATGAATGTTATGATTGTGGCTAAAATAATCGCAACTCCGATCGCTTCAATTGCAAAAGTTAGACTACTTTCCCCACATGACACTAAAAAACCACACCTCCAAAGTTGGAACAATAAGAGCGGTGCCAACAATTTTTTTATTCAAATTGCACATCTCACTGGATATCAACGTTTACGTAGAAATGTCAATGACATACAATTAACATTGCCAAGTACACAGTAGACTAGATGCGAGTAAAAAATTCTTGATTTACTTCAGTTTAAGTGATGTCATATTTGTTATTTTGTAACGTCGGGCTTTTATTTATGGGGAATCAACTCGAACTAGAAGTCACATTTTCAAAAAATGGCATATTTTAAAATGTACGTGTAAAAGTACATCTAGAATTATGGTTTGGGAAATTGTTGATCAACTTTGAAAATTTAATTTTTTTTAAATGTGGCTTCTAGTTCGATTTGATTTCCCATAGACCCCATGTTACAAAATCACAAAACGTGAAATATCTTTTCTTGTATTGGACAGAAAACATTTTCTTTTACTGGACATATTTCAATTTGCATAACTATTAGATACATAAGATATATGAAAATTGAACCATTAAAACAGATGTAATTTAAGCTAAAGGGAACTTTCTACTATATACCCGCCATGCTATCTGACCCGAACGAGCCACCTGGTGGTGAAACTGGTAACTTCCTTCTCGCATCTGCGTTATTTACATACTCGCACATTGCCAAGTACACAGTATTCACATGCTGTGAATCACATGTCCCAAAAACAAATTAAAAGCTAGCATGTTGTTAGAAAGAAAAGTGTTGCCAAGTTACTAGGAAGTATAACAATACTGAGCGGTTGCATCCTGTAGATTATTACCATTTGGCAACATGGCAGAACATGGCATGTTGGAACCCGATGACCATAAGGCCAATGCACTAATACGTAGAAAAATTAGTTTTAAAAACTGAATGTAGTGCCAGCACAATTGTGATAATGACGAGTCAGTAACGTATGTAGGTAAAGTTGTCCGATCTTTTTGCAATGATTATATGCCATTTCTTATGAAAATGCGTTTATTTGGTCTGAAGGAAAATGTCGAGTCAAGTGGCGCATTAATTTTGGCTTCATTTTTGTGAATTTAATTTCTGTCGGCAGAGGGGTAGTGTCACATTTGACCAATTATTTCAAAAAGTAGATGTTTGACCCCTATTGAGTTTAGTGACAAAATGTAGCTTAGCCATTACTTATGAACCTCAGTTAGGCCATTGGGGCCACATATATCAATAACATGTGATAAGAAATCAGGCGTTTACCCACTTGAATAGGGCTGTTTTCCCATTAATGCTCGATTTATGTCTTTATATTAATTCTCTACACCACTTTGAAAACTTCCAGGGAGACCATTTATTTTGTTGAGTTCGAAATAAGGTGTGACAACTGATGTGACAATGAAAACACAAGATTATTCCCTAATATGTCAATTATGTTGCTGGTTGTTCAGGCCCGTAAGACACTTTTCTCCAAGGGGGGTGCGGTTTTTAGCTTACTAAAGAGAATATAAAATTGTCAATTTTTTGGCCGCGAAAATCAAATCGCGTAAGTCAGAGGGGGGGGGGGCTCAGTTACTCCCTATATTGGTTTGGAATTAACAAATGCAACTTCCAAAAGTTCCAATTGTTTTGTGGGGGGTGTGAGGAGTGGTCCACTCCCCCTAGAAAATTTTACAGTTTTGAGATGCTATTTGGTGCTTTCTGGGCACTTTCAAAGTGTATGTTTTAAAGTAGTACGCCACCACCATGGGAATAAGAGTTGAGTGAATAAAAAACCGAGCATTCAGGGGGTCTCCCCCAGGAAAATTTTGAAATTTGGTTGTATTTGGAGCGAATTTGCAACCATCTGGTACGCCTGTGCGTTATGAGTCAATAAGAAAAATGTGTATTTTTTCAAATTCTTTTGGGGGTGTCAAAGTGGATGAGAGGGTGAAGAGGGATGTGGTGCCAGTAGGGGAGCAAGGGGTTGTCCCCCATAAACATTGACCATATCAAGGTGCTATTTGATGATGTCCGGGCACTTAAAAAATGTCTGAGACAATACATGAAATTCAGAATATTTTCTTTTGTTTTGTGGGTGAGGGGTGGCTAACTCTCCTAGAAAATTTTACAATTTAAAGATGATATTTGGTGCTTCTGGGCACTTTTAAAGTGTATTAGTCAATAAAAACATTGAACAATAATCACAATTTTTTCAAGTTTTGGGGGTGTCAAAGGGGGGGGGGTGCCAGAGGGGGAGGTGGGGCTGGGGTGCCAGAGGGGGAGCAAGTGTTTGTCCCCCATATCAAAATTTACAATATCAAGGTGCTATTCGATGAAGTTTGGACACTTTAAAAGTGTCTGTGCCTAAAAGTGCCTATTTCCCAAGAAAATTTTACAATTTTAAGATGCTATTTGGTGCTTTCTGGGCACTTTAGTCAATAAAGTCAATAAAAAAATTTGAAAATTTTTTTTTTTGGGGGGGGGCTGCCAGAGGGGGAGGTGGAGTGGGGATGCCAGAGGGCGAGTAAGTGTTAGTCTTCCAGAATCATTAACTTTATCAAGGATGATGATGATGTCTGGGCAATTTAAAAGTGTCTGAGACAGTACATAAAACAAATTCAGAACTTTTCCATTGTTTTGTTTGGGGTGTGAGGGGTGGCCCACTCCCCCTAGAAAATTTTACAATTTTACAACGCTATTTGGTGCTTTCTGGGCACTTTCAAAGTGTATGAGTCAATTAAAGAATTTGAGAAAATCACAATTTTTTTTGGGGGGGGGGTCAAGGGGGGGGGGGGCGCCAGAGGGGGGGGGTCTATGAAAGTGCAAGATGCAAGAGGGGGAGCAAGTCCCCCAAAAACGCTAACTATATCAAGGAGCTATTTGATGATGTCTGGGCACTTTAAAAGTGTCTGAGACAAAACACTAAAATAAATTTAGAACTTTTCCATTGTTTTGTGGGGGGTGTGAGGGGTGGCCAATACCCCTAGAAAATTTTACAATTTTAAGATGCTATTTGGTGCATTCTGGGTACTTTCAAAGTGTATGAGTCAATGAAAAAAAAATTACCAAAAAAATATTTTTCAAAAAAAGAATTTTTTTCAATTTTTTTTTCAAATTTATTTTGGGGGGTGACAAAGGGGGGTGCGGTCGCACCCATCGCACCCCCCCATCTGACGGTCCTGTTGTTATGTGTATTTATTAGGAGACTCGTTCGTTTCCCAAAGAGACCTATTATAAATTTTAGCCTATAGAGGCCCGTAACCTATACCTTTGTGTTCCTGAGACGTATGGACAATCATCCGGGAAAGACAATGTTTACCCAAAGCCTTTGGGTAGACGACGTTGTCATCCGAGGATAGTTGATCCAAATACTGATGCTCTACCAACCAAGGGCGTTACAATACCCGGGAATTTATCGGTTCGTGCAGTACTTGTTTGTGATAGCGCCCTCTGTAGGTCACTGTGCCTATAGCCTACAGAAGAAGGGGAGAAACCCCAGGGTTCAAAGATGACATACGCTTATAATGTAAATCTGTATTGAGATGACATCGTCGCTGATTGGTTTAGCGAGTCGATCGTTGATTGGTTTAAAACTAGGTCAATTTGAAAACTGAAAACCAAGATGGAGGGTATAAGTACTTCCGGGAAAGGAGGTGCGCGAAGGAGGAAATCGTATGTCATCAATTGAATCATGGGGTTTTCCCTCCTCTTAGCCTACAGTAATCACATTTATGCGTGCGCGCGCAGCTCATCCACTGAACGAAACGCCACTTCCCGCTGAAATCACCGGGTATTGATCTTTCCCTTGTACCAACTGAGCTACATGCATAGGCTCAAGCCACTACATATTGGCAGTGTTAGCAACTTGCTATCCAGAGTCAACACATGCAATTTCCGGGATGCAATTACTCAAAAAAAAACATGAAAAATAGGAATTCACATTTCGTGTAGTTTACTATGATATTCCTAATTAACGTAGTGTGTAACTATTTCCGCTGAGTTTCGTACACTCTGGGCTATACTCGACTTCCGGTAAGAAAATCGCAAACTGCTCATGGTAAGAGCAAAACAGGTAAAAATAATTTGTTCATATTTGGTATGTGAATACTCATAAGCCACCTCATTATACCGACAAGTATTATACCGACAAGTATTATACCGAAACCCATTATACCGACGCGCATTGTGCCGAAAAGGCCTACCGGTGCGCGTCGTCAGTGGGACGGCACATTGCCTTAACCCATCAGTTTTATGACGTGCACTTCCGTGTGGAACTATATCTTTACAGCGGGAATTTCAAGTTTTTGTCAGCGTAGACATAAAAAGTTGCAGTCCTCATACTCGCGCGTTTTTCAATATTTTTATTTGAAACTCGCAAGAACGGTGCTTTGAATCTAGCTCTATACTCCTTCAAAACGTCGTAAATGTAGACATATGATTATGTACATGTATGACTGTGCACAGTAACATTATATAGGCATAGAATAATAAAAGTGGAGCCTGAAAAGTGCTATGTTGAAAAGCCGAGAAATTCTACTGTATCAGCATAAAAAATATATAGTTATACACGATTTTTTCATTGAACAGACAAGTCTTGAAAATTAAAAATTCATTTTTATTTACTTCCACAATATTTTAACTTAAAACTTTTTAATATGAGACTGGATGTTAATCCATAGCCGTAGCCAGCGGGGGTTCGGTGGGTTCGAACGAACCCCCGGTCAGGATTTCCAAAAATATCATTTTGCGAAAAAATGCATATAACCAGAAACATTTAATCACTGTGCTATTTGAAAACTACATATATGAGCAGTAAATGAATAGATATAATTTTGTTATGGTGAACACGAGAGCCTCATTTCGCTAAAAACATGTCATAGTGAAGTTGCACTTCCCTCAAAACGTTTGGCAACCTTAGGCACGGGGTGAGATTTAATTTTGGGAAGACCCCAGAGCATGAGATTTTACATTTAAAAATAACAATAAATTCGCACAATTAACTTAAAAGCTACTTCTTCTCGGACAAAATAACCCATCTTGGGCAATCGGCAATGGCTAAATCAGTCCTTTGAAGGAATTTTGTTTTAAGCCAGTTCTGGTCCAATACGA